CCCAAGGATACTTTGTGCCAAGTTTGGTTGAAATTGGCCCAGTGGTTCTTGAGAAGAAGATGAAAATGTGAAAAGTTTACGACGACAACGACAACGCCAACGACAACAACGATAGACGACGGACAAATTTTGATCAGAAAAGCTCACTTGAGCCTTCGGCTCAGGTGAGCTAAAAACCGCTCATCACAGGAAGATGAAACCTTTTCTGGAAGATAGAGCAACATATGTAGATTTGCGCTGTGTTGTTAACTTTCACTGGAAGTACCGCACGTTAACGCTCGGTATGGTCTGAAAAAAGTCATATTGAGCGTTTCAAAATTTCTAACACTTTTTCTATTATATCGTTTTACTTGTAAATATTTTGTTAAAACATATAGAACAAAAGTTGTGAAGAATTGTGAGATCTTTCAAATGATAACTCGAAAAAAGGGCTGACCCCTTAAATAAGGGATCTAGAAGGGCCAAAATTTTTTAATTGATATCTCAAAAAGTATTGAGAATTTGTAATAAGTCAAAGTAGCAAAGTGGTTCAAAATGTCAAGCTTAATCCACTGAAATCGTCAAAATACGTCCGGCGTCGTCACTTTCGGCCAAACCGGAAGTAGTCAAAAACGCGTATTTTTGTCGTTCTTGACAAAGTTTTTGGGTAACATATGTCTCTGGGAGCATAAAAATTAATTTTCCGTCCGTCGTCATCACTTCTGGTCAATACGGAAGTAGCAAAAATTGCTTATTTTTGCATTAATTTACAAAGCTTTCGACGATTCAAAGCATTTTTGGGCATTATTTCTCATTTTTCGTAAAAATGAAAGTTACTTCCGGTTACTTCCGGTCAAACAGGACGGAAGACCTACTCGTTGCTTTGCAACGAGCTTTGCTCTAGTTCTTATTATTATTTTTTTTTCTTACCGATTTTGTGCACGCGAGTTCTCGGAAACGGCTCGATGGATTTTCATGAAACTTTCAGGTCTGATAGAACATCAAAAAATCTAGAAATAAAATTCTTTAATTTTGATGACGTCACTTCCGGTTCGGAGATTTTCGCAATTTTGTCATTTTTAGAGGGTCACTTTGTCCGGCAATGTTCTCAAAAACCGTTGAAGATAGAAGTATGAAATTTTCAGTGATGATAGATCAACCTTTGGAGAAGTGCATTGAGTATATCATTTTCACCGGAAGTAGGTAGCGCCGACGCTCGCTATGGCCCGAAAATAGTCCTACCAGGAATTGCAAAATATTTAGCACCTTTTCTACGATAAATTTTTACCTAGAAATATTTTGTTAAAGCATGTAGAACAAAAAAGATGTAGAATGTCAAGATCTACCAAATGACATCTCGAAAAAAGGGCTGACCCCTTAAATTAGGGGCCTGGAGGGGCCGAAAGTTTTTCCTTTATATCTCAAAAAGTTTTGAGAATTTGTGATACGTCAAAGAAGCAAAGTTGTTCAAAATGTCAAGTTTAATCTATTGGAGTCGTCAAAATACGCCCGGCGTCGTCACTTCCGGCCAAACCGGAAGTAGTCGGAAAACGCGTATTTTTGCCGTTCTTGCTAAGTTTTTTGGTAACATATGTCTCTGGGAGCGTTAAAATTAATTTTCCGTCCGTCGTCATCACTTCCGGTCAAACCGGAAGTAGCAGTAAATGGCTTATTTTTGCATTAATTAACATGGATTTGGAGGATTCAAACCATTTTTGGGCGTTATTTCTCATTTTTGTTAAAAATGAAAGCTACTTCCGGTCAAACAGGACGGAAGACCTACTCGTTGCTTTGCAACGAGCTTTGCTCTAGTTATTATTATTATTCTTCCTGGGAAAATTTTGTCCACGAGTGATCTTGTAAACTACACATCCGACTAAGGTAAAATGTTTTTAGGGTCAGTAGACATGTTATGTAGATTTGCCGAACGAAGGTCATTTTGTGCGCACGTGCTTGCAAGAGCGCGCACGTGCAACACGTGAAATGACCAATATAATGGATACTGCTGTAACTTTTCTTTTTTTTTTGATGAATTTTTTTGAAAATCAGAATGTAAGGATACATTAGTAGTATAGACAAGATGGCATGGTTAAAATAGTAAGATCTCACGCGCATGCACGTGCACTTCGCTCTGATTGGCTGAAACTAAAGTCTCAATATCTTTCTTGTTTCTTGTCATAATCTTTTGAAATTTTGAACATAGTCCTACATTATGAAGATCTACAGCATGATATATAAAAATTTTCATGAAAGCATGCGCATGCGCGCGTGCTGCAATCTGATTGGCTGAAACTTTAAATGGCTATATCTCCTTTGTTTTTCGACGAAATGCTTTGAAATTTAAAACATAGCCATGCATTAGGATATCCTAAAATATGATATAGAAAAAAACCCATGAAATCACGCGCATGCACGTGTGCTGCAATCTGATTGGCTGAAACTTTATATGGTCATATCTCCTTTGTTTTTCGACGAAATGCTTTGAAATTTAAAATATAGTCATGCATTAGGATATCCTTCAATACGATAAAGATAAAAATTTATGAAATCACGCGCATGCATGTGTGCTGCAATCTGATTGGCTGAAACTTCAAATGGCTATAACTCCCTTGTTTTTCAACCAAACAGGATGGGATTTAGAACATAGATAAATATAAGGGAATCCTACAAGAAGGTGTAGTCATTATGCACGTGCGTGTACGTGAAATGAGTAAAATTAAAAATACACTCGAATGAGTATATTTTTTAATACTCTTGGATTAAATGCTTTGATATTAAGTAATATTAAAATTTTAGATAGTGTAGACAAAATAATATGGTCGTTCCGCACATGAACACGCATGCAATGCCTATTTTTAAATATATTTTGTATTTTTCTGGGAAGACCTTGATTAAGTCTAAATTCCTTCAAGTATTTCTTATTTAATAGAGATTACAGGGAATATGGCACCAAAAGGGAGTTGGGGAGCGTTTGGGGAACATCTGTAACGGTCCCCGTTACAATTAGCACTAGTTAGCCTTATGTTGTGCAAACTCGCATGGATGATACATCTTAGGATACACACTAATGGACTTGCTCCGGATGCTGAATTCGACATACATTTTCTAGATAATGGATCAGGTAAAAGTTATGGGTGCAGGTCTATTACCAAGAAACTATAAGGCATATATAAACCAAACTTGCCAAAATGATGCATCAAGGGATAAAATCTCTGAAACTTGTTTCAGATCCTGGATTTTAATCACATTTTCGTGATGAAGAACTAGTTTTAAGTTTTTATATAGGTCTATTCCAAAGTATCAGATCAATTTGCATAAATTTTGCATTTTTGGATGTACACTTTTTGTTGGGTAATTGTGTGACTTTGCCTAACTTAAAGAAAACATTCGTTGAGATGAGCTCTGTAATCTCTGATTACCTATGTTTTTGCTGACAGATAGACAGACAGACTGACGGACGGACATGGCAAAAACTATATACACTCGAATCTTCGATTACAGGGGCATACAAAGGCCTAGAGGATGTGCAGATAATGTGATTCAACACTTAACCTTGCCCATAACTTTTGACTGGGTAGGGCTATGGCTTTCAGATGACACTAGGGCTTTCACACTTCACATGCGTATTAATTGTGACAAGACCTTTCAATTCGAATAAATATTTTTGACCTAAGAGTTTTACACACTTTGTAAAAAAAAACCTTGGCTAAAACTTTTTAACAGTTATTACACTGGCTTTCATGTTTTACATGTGCATGTATTTCTTATGAAAAGACCTTTCTTTTGATACCAACAATTTTGAGCTTTTAACCTAGACCTTTTAGTTTGACTTGCATTTGAGAAATTTCAACCTTCGCCATAAACTCCATATTAGAGCATCATTGCTTCACCAACACATCTTGTTTTTATTAATCATGGGAACATAAGCATTTTTTGTAATGCCTCTTTTCTGTATAGAGTGAAGAGCTTTTCAGCACATTATAATTTGATCCCTCAAGAGGCCCATGGACCACATTTCTTACCCGAGTAACTTTGGCCGCCTTTTAAAAGAAAATGGAGTGAAATATTTGATTTCAACGACAAAGAAATCAAACTGACTTTTAAATCCCTTTTAAAGTTAAAATAATTGTAAATAGCAATGATTTTAGTTTCGAATTTTGAACAAAGTTTTAGCTTCAAACTCAATTTATTCAAAATCAAAATCATCAAATTAGAAATGTACGATTTGTCAGGTAGAAGAAGATACAATTGAACACTTCCTTTGTGAGTGTGATAGTGCACAAACTTTTTAAAAGAATTTGAAGAGTACTTTTAAAAACAAGAAAACTAGCTTTCAAATATCAATATATACACTGTAACATATAAAATTTAATTTTGGGGCTCTTAGATAATACGAAAAAGATACGACATTTTCTTGATTTAAGGCTTACATGTATTTATTATATCTACACAATAAGGTGCACAGGAAAAAGTTTTAATTATTCACTGTCTAGTTAGTAGATTATACCAGGGCATCGACGATAGATAGTTGGAAACGTGGGATAATTTGAACAACGGACGAAGCCAGTTATCTTTAAATTATCCCACTTATCCAACTATCGTTCATGTCCTTGGCATACTCTACTACATGCATGTAACTAAACAAAGATTCCTTATATTTCCATTTCATTTCGAAATGAAATTGTAAATTTAAATTTTAAAAAAGAAAACGAATAGATTTATATTACACGACGCCTCCCATGTCAATTTCAAAAGTCTCCGCCCACTGACGTCAAAAGCACAGACAGAAGCACAAGATTTACATGCATATTAAGCCTCCTTAGTGTCAGACACAAAGACAGACGCGCGATATGTACATGCATATTAAGCCTACTTAGCCCCTAGCCTATCGTTTTACATTCTGCTAGAATGATCGAGAAATCAACTCAACTATTTTTCGAAGAGTTATTTCAGAGAAAACTAATAGAAATGGAAATTTTATTAAAATTATATTGATTATCATTTCTTTTTAATTCCAGAGACAGAATGGCGCAAGGAGGGCTACCTCATACAACAAGAAAAAGGTATGCCAATCTACCACCTATCAAAAATATTTTTGAATTTGATATAATAAAATCTGTTTAAATTTGTTTTAAAAATTTTAATCTGCTATAGAATATTAATTTCATTGAATTCTTTAAAAAGAATTGTCTTTTATAACTTTCTGCTCCAAGCATATACATGTATATTTCTTTGAATTTAAATTTGTTATAACGAGTTCAAAATTTATTATTAATAAATATAGTTCGTTTTCGTTGAAACGAGTTCTTTAATTTAATCTAAATAGTTTTTGATTAGCAAATTTGACAATGTGTTATATTGAATCCATATATTTTACCACAGGTCCTACTAGTTGAATTTGATTAAACAAATTTAATCTGGTATAAGAAATCTTTAAATTTGTTGTAACGAAATTATTTTTTTTATGAATTTATCCGTTACAACATTTTTTTATTGGTCATAACGAATTTAAGGTGGGATAGGTCTGGTTCCTGACTAGATAAATGATTTAAAGCATATTTGCTTATATGTCTTATATAGTTATATGTACAAGATTTAAAAGTTCACGTTTTCTTTCTCATCCCAATCATACAACTTTGAATATATATGGTAATCTGAGTTTGAGATTTATTAGGGACTATTTTATTGGCGGAATTTAAGCGTATGAAAATATCTTTTTTTCTGCTTCTCAAAATTATTATAGAACAATGAATTTACTTATAAATTTTACACTATCAAAGACTTGAAAAAATTTTCAAATGTAAGTTAATTTACTAATGAGGGACTAAAGTTTTAAAATATATCAAATAAATACGATTTTCAAAACAAACAACAATTATGTTGGCTGTTAAATGATTCCAATCTAAGAACGAAATTGAGCCAGAATCCATAAAAGGGTTTTTTTCTCCCGAAGCAAACGATCAAAACTTTTTGTTTCTGTATCATTTTGTATATCTACGTGTATATGAATTCTAACCATGAGTGAAAATAACAAAAAATTAGATATATGAATCACACAAAAATAATTACATATATACTTAAAAAAAATTAGAAAAGTAGAGGAAATTCAGATTATCCAATACCCATATTAGATCAATTATAATTATTGTCAATTTGGTTATATCATCTTCTAGACCCTAAATGGTAATATTTTCATGCAAAAAGAAAACATTTAATCTTTTCAAAAAGAAGTAGGCATCGAATGACTGGCAACAGTAATATTTTATTTATTCTTAATGTCCAGGGAAACGTAATGACCTTGACCTGACCTTGCCTCTAATATAAAATTGTCTAATCTAGTTTGTACCATAGGACTGGCGGTAAATTCAGATTTTACTTTGATGTTGCTGTGGTGTATTTGTCAGAAGAACCACAGTTTTTAAGTCACGCCCACAATTTGGCATCAAGCCATAATGCATGTAACAAGACCTTGACTGATGAATGAATGATGCTAACTTCAAAACCTTGGCAATAACTGATAAATGAGTTTAGTCAACATTTTAAACTTCAAGAATACTAACATTAATTTGTCGACATTCGCTCCGTATTTTACTAAGCGTATCCTGTTAACGTTATACGTTTGATCTCGAATTGCCTTAATTAATTCTTATTCTTGTCTCCAAATAGTAATTTCACATTAAACATGTTAAGGTCCCCTGTTTTTTTTCTTGACATAGGCGTCGGAACCGGGGGGGGGGGGGGGGGGGGGGGGCGTAGCCCCCCCCCCACTTTTTTTGCAAAGATAGACATACTAGTAATATATAGGCATTTCAAATTGGGGTTTACCTTTTTTTGTTGGTTAAGCGCCCCTCCCTTCAATTTGCTACCGACGCCTATGCTTGCAGTACCATTCAAACTTTATAAAATGTCAGAAATCATTTCGCGCTTTTTGTACATTGATCGCTATAGATAAAAAGTTAAATCGGAGATGTTTTCCATTGAACCCCCCCCCCCCCAAAAAAATAAATAAAATCGGTCTTCGAAAGGAATAACAGCCTAAAATAAAATATTTTACGATCGCTACCTCTGTTCCTGACAAAAATCAAGCCCTCTGTCTAAGCTGCAACATCTTCGCACGTACCCAATAATGATCAATCATTCCGATTCTTTTTTTTTTTTGATCGACGATACATGTACCCCAGATGCAGCATTCAAAATACGATCCCTACAGATAGAGAAATGTATTTATACAGACTCCGGACCATGGCTTGACAGAATGAAGTGGGCGGTGCTAACTGTCAACCAGCTTTTCTCTCATTGGTCCTTTGGTACAAGTAACTTACACAATAGATATTAATTGGTTAATGGTAAATACACTCACAGTTTTTAATTCACTCGGGGCTCCGCCCCTCGTGAATTAAAAACTGTGAGTGTATTTACCATTAACCAATTAATATCTATAGTGTAACTATAATTTATAACTGATACCACAAATATGTGACATTGTCTTCTAGATTCTGCATTAATTTTTAATTTACAAGAAATATGAGAAGAATCCCACATTTAAAAAAAAGTTATAACAAATCTATATCTTTATATTAAATTAAAAAAATGTTTTTACGAGGTAAATTGGTTAAAAGAAATTCGAAAATTCATTATATTGATTCATTTATAGTTTTCTGAATACCTATACTGTTGCATTCGATAACACAAATTTAATTGGTTAGGTTATTAAACTGAATTCATAAAATCAAATATATTCTGACAATTAAACGAATTACGGGGGGAACTATGTCCGAAAAGTCTTTGTGTGAAATTTTCAAAACTTTCACATTTCTTTCATGACCACTTGCTCTTAATTTTTAGGTATTAAAAAGAATACCTTTTATGCTTATTTTTACACAGGAGCACGTGCAAAAACAGTGTGAAATGCTAAAAATAGATTATTTTCAGACATTATTGTTCTACCCCAAACATCCGCTAAAAAGAATCAAAAATGTCAAATCACATTCAAAATCAACATGTATTCAAAGTATTTGACTTGTGTTTTTAAAATGAAGGCAAAATCATCGTAATTTATCTTGCATGAAAAATTATAATTGAGCACAATGTAAGTATTACCCCATTTTTCTTGTCGTATTTTTTGCAATTCCGACATGCATAAAAGGTAATATCTTAAAAAGTCTTTGTGTGAAAATGTTGTAATTCATATTTTTTGAAAGAACTGAATTATCTATTTATTTTAATAAAGAAACAAGTATACCTTTATGATAAAATAAACGAGAAATGTGAAGTTATCTTTTATTTTCGTACTCTTGTGTCATAAATATTGACCTTTCTGCACTAAGACAAGGGTAAGTCAGCACTGGCAAACATCTGAATATAAAACTATTTTGCAGAAAACAAGTATTTTGTTTTGATTAGTAACAACTTACACTGATTTAATATTTTTTTTTTGGATTCCAATCATTCTGTTTCTCTCTCACCCCCCTCTCCAACCTCTTACCCATCAACAACCAACTCCTATAAGAATTATCCTAAGAATTACTTATACAATTAAATCTAAATGTACTTATCAATTAGCAAATATAGGTACAAGTACATTTTAAAAATTTTTTCTTAGTTTTATCGAGAAGATAAAATTAATGGTGAATATAAAATTAAACATATTTCCCTGATTTAAGACGCTTTCTTTGCTGAATTTTTTCTTATCTCTTTTCACTTATATCAGCATATTATCGAGGTATTATTTCACAACTAAAATTGCTATGAATTATCAACCAAAGGAAGCAATTTTTAACATTAACAAACTCCTTTAATCAAATAAAACTGCTATTAATGATGTATAAATTTTCTCTTTCTATTGTTTTAAAGAAATTGTTCATAAAAAATTACTTGAAGTATTTTAAAATTTAGAAATTGTGTACGCTATTGATTATTAAAAATGGTAAGCCTATACGTACCACAGTTGCAAAAGTCAACAGGTAAAAATAAACGTCACTATTGTGACGTCACATAACGCTGCTATGACGTAGAATGACATAGGTCCCCCCCCCTGTATTAAAACTGTTATACAAATTTAATTCATAATTACGAATTGACATTGACAATTCGTTATCATATCGGTTTAAAAGTGGTAGGTCCTTAATTGGCTTCTGTTATATTACAAATGGTAATCCAACTTATACTCATAGTTCCCTTACTAAAGAAGAAATTCTTCAAAATCATATGTCAGTTTTGAATATTTTTTATATCCCAAAGAACCAAAATGATTTTGAACTACCATATATATCTTGGATTCCAAAACTTCATAAGAATCCTTACAAAAAAGATATATTGCGGGTTTCAGTAAATGTTTAACCAAGCCTTTCTTTCTTTACTCCTCACTAAGATATTAACAGTAGTGAAGGAGAAACTTCAAGAGTACTGTGCAACAATATATTCAAGAAGTGGTGTGAATCAGATGTGGATACTCAAAAATTCCAAAGAACTTTTGGACAATTTGAATTCACAAGATTTTACCAAAATCAGTAGCTTGAAAACTTACGACTTTTCAACTTTATACACAACCATTCCAAACGATGCTATTGTTTGCAGCTAAGTGTAAAGTTTTGCGTTACGTCACGATCCTTTTCATCAGATGAATCCAGCGTAAACGTGATTGGCCAACTCAAATTATCAACTTTGACGGGAAAATAGTCTGATACACGAGCAACCAATCAGGGATAAGGCGAAAGTTCCAGTCGTAAAGCCTGCGGTTAGGAGGCGTGTACAATTTACCTTGAGGCAGCTGTCACTAGATCGTGACGTAACGTGAAACTTTACACTTAGCTGCAAACTATAGTAATTTAAAGTCCAAGCTTTTTGATATCATTGACAGCTTTTTTTCTGAAAGATCTGAAAGATTACACATCACAAGAAATATACGTAGAAGGCTCTAACGCATCAAGTTCAAAATTTCCCCCTGCACTGTAAAAACCAAAGGCCAAGACACCTTTGGATGAAAATATAATTATTACAATTTTCAAATACATTTTCACAATACATTTCACATCGAAAACAAAAATCTATACTCAACCCCCTATGACAGTTCTACAGCAAGACATTTAATTTATAAATAGTAACAAACAGTAATCAATCACAGACGCAACTTAAGACAATCGTTGTGTGTACAGAAAGATATTATCACAGGTTATATACATATGTAATATGAAAGGCCTATCTCTTCTTATTCAAAATTTACGGGCAATTCAAGTAATGTATAGGTTTTTTAAAGTATGTTTAACTGCAATATCAAGGTTACGGGGTAAAAAATCATTGTGTATTTATAAATATCTTGTCACAGGCATTACACAGCTTTAATATGAAAGCCCTATCTCTTCTTTTTCAAAAGTTATGATCAAGGTTAAAGTGTTTGAAAAGTAGGTCAAACTTCAAGGTCACGAGGTCAAAATTCAAATTGTTTTTAGAAAGGACTTGTCAAAGGTGATTTACATGTGTAATATGAAAATCCTATCTCTTCTCATTCAAAAGTTATGGACAATTTAAAGTAATGTTTAATTTTTTAAAATTAGGTCAAATTTCAAGGTCAAGGTCACGGGGTAAAAAATTATAATGTTTTTAGAAAGGTCCTGTCACAGGTAGTATACATTTGTTTTATGTAGGCCCTATCTCTTTTCATTTAAATGATATGAACAAGTTCAAAGTTTTTGTGACGGACGGACAGCTAGACAGACAAAAAGACGGACAGACAAATGAGATTCTTGAAAAGTTAATTAGGCTTGGAACTAAATATTCTGCAAAATTATTTTCTTAAAAGACATTCTGATTGCACACACAATTACTCTGAAGTTTACATCAGAAAGATGCTTGAAGTTTTGATTGACAATATCTATCTGGTTTTTGGAGACCAGGTCTTCCAACAATCTATTGGAATTCCCATGGATACCAATTGCTCTCCGTTATTAGCAGACCTAATTTTGTATTCGCATGAAGCAGAATTTGTGCGAAATCTTATGCATGAAAAGAAAAAAAAAACACTTGTTGTGGCCGTCATCTCGACATTTAGATATGTCGATGACGTACTGTTAATTAACAATGGTAATTTCCATTCCTATGTCGATAAGATATGGTAATCTACAACCGATCTCTGTGATGACTTTAACTTTCCAATTGCAACTTCCCTTACTTATGCAGCAAGATACCTTCATCATCTGCATATGCAGAGTTTATATATCTCAGTTGATTCGATACGCAATAGCATGCTCTACATGTACGTATGAACAATTTCTAAAACGAGGTATTTGTTGACAAACAAGTTGATGAAACAAGAATATCAGCAGTCTCGTTTATAGTCATCATTTCGTAAGTTCTATGGTCGATACAATGACCTTGTCAGCAAATACGATTTATCATTAAGTCAAATGCTGACTGATTTTTTTTTTCATACCAATTGTCAGTCCATTATTTATACACTGAATTGACGACGGATTTTTCAGTTATTTCCCGATCATGACAAGGAGCAAGGTGTGACCGGTCGACAGGGGATACTCATTCCTCCATGGCACCTGATTCAAAATCTGATGTTTTCGAGGTCCGTGTTTGCTCTGCTCCTGTTTTGTATTGTTTTATGGGCTTTTGATCTTGAATACTGTTTGTTACTTCCATATATTTCACAACATTTTTTCTTATTTGTTAGATCGAATTGTCTAAAGAGTTAAGGATGCAGCGAAGCTCACTTCCTCGAAATTAATTTTATGCCATCATGATATGAAAATCATTTGAAACAGTTAAAACAAACACCATTTTTTATCATAGCATAAATTATTATTATATTTATAGAATATATTATGACTATAAAATTAAAAATTATTAGGTAAAGATATAAACAATATTTACATGTAATTCCAAACTTAATTAACTTTTCAAGAACATATAAATAAACGATGATTTTTGGAATATCATACTGTATTCTTTGTCGGTAGAAGGAATAAGGGGTCCATCTCTAAGAGCTAACTTTATTCATTCATTTTTTCTTAATAAATGAAAAATATATAACAATAAAAAGTGTCAATGTGATGTATTTTTTGGTCATACGTATATAGCTAAATGTATTGCAACATAACCAAGTCTCCCGCACCTTGTTTTGGCATAATTCTTTGTTCCTTAGACCATATTCAATCTGCGTCTTTTGTTTGCATGTGCATCACAAAATTGTTAACAGGCTTTGACTATTTAAAACTTGATTTGAATGGAACAATGGACTTTAAATATCTTCTTACATGAAGGATATGGAGATAACGAACAGTACTCAATCTCAAAGTCCATAAAACAATACAAAGTAGGGGCAGAGCAAACACGGACCTCCGATACATCAGAGGTGGGATCAGGAATAAATTGGGTTAGTAAACTGAGATATAAATTATATCTTTTATGTCAAGATCATTGAGCAATGGGATAATAAAGGGACTTCTTTGGTACAATGAATAACTCTTTTATTTGATAAATCTCAAGCATACCTTTTAACTCAACAGACCAAAAAATCTATTGATTGGATTGAAAAAAACTTTTGTACATTGTACATGACATTTTAGAACTATATGTATATGGTCGTTGTGTAATTTCTGTACCCCGCTTTCGCGAAAGCGAGGGGGGACATTAAATCTCATTTGTCTGTCCGTCTGTTCGTCTGTCAGTCTGTCCGTCCGTCACAAAAACTTTGAACTTGGTCATATCTTTAAATGAAAAGAAATGGGCCTTATATATAACACATGTATACCACCTGTGACAAGACCTTTCTAAAAACATTATGATTTTTTACCCCGTGACCTTGACCTTGAAATTTGACCTAATTTTTAAAAAAATTAAACATTACTTTGAATTGGCCATAACATTTGATTGAGAAGAGATAAGACTTTCATATCACCTTTGACAAGACCTTTCTAAAAACACTTTGAATTTTGACCTCGTGGCATTGAAGTTTGACCTACTTTTCAAGAACTTTAACCTTGGTTATAACTTTTGAATGAGACGAGATAGGGCTTTCATATTAAAGCTGTGTAAAGCCTGTGACAAGATATTTATAAATACACAATGATTTTTTTACCCCGTGACCTTGATCTTGCAGTTAAACATACTTTAAAAAACTTAAACGTTACTTGAATTGCCCATAAATTTTGAATAAGAAGAGATAGGCTTTTCATATTACATATGTATATAACCTGTGACAATATCTTTCTATACACACTATGATTGTCTTAACTTGCGTCTGTGATTGATTACTGCTTTTTACTATTTATACATTATATGTTTTGCTGTAGAACTGTCATAGGAGGGTGAGTATAGACTTTTGTTTTCGATGTGATATGAAACCCCTATATGGCAATTAACATCCAAAACAAACTATATTGCTATGTATTACTATAGCTATTACATCTTCTGTATTGTGAAAATGTATTTGAAAAATTGTAATAATTATATTTTCACCCAAAGGTGACTTGGCCTTTGGTGTTTACTGTCGCAGGGGGAAATTTTGAACTTGATGCGTTAGAACCCTCTACGTATATTTCTTGTGATGTGTAATCTTCAGATCTTTCAGAAAAAAAACTGTCAATGATATCAAAAAGCCTGGACTTTAAATTATCATTGGGAATGGTTGTGTATAAAGTTGAAAAGTCGTAAGTTTTCAAGTTATATTTCTATATATGATGCTAAAAACAAATGAAATTATGCTTATAAAATATGAGCTATCATCTATACATATAGCATATATATATATTTGTTATTTTTTAATATCGTTATTACCTTTGATATGATGTAAAGCTGTCAAAATATCTGCACAATCATTTGATTTAGCAAATATTATTTTTTCTATCTGACCCAGAAAGCCCCTGGCACCCCAGGTGATGATATACCTGGGTATTTGTTAAAGCTTCGGAGGAGGCATTACCTCTGCTTTTTTTTTTGTTATTGGATTAATGAATAATGTTTTTTTAAAATCTAAAACAGAATTTAAAAAGAGATAAGTTTGATATAAAAATATATGGATTTTTTTTTATGAGGGGGGGGGGGGGGTCAAACAATTTCTTCGACACTGCACAATGCATTATGTGTTTTACTTTTTTTGGAATTAGATGGATGTATTTCCATTTCTGATTTTTTTTTTCCTCTGTAATAACCCTTTGAAAGTTAGCAGAGTTGATTTCTTGATAATTATACCGGAATGTAAATAGGCAGGTCGACAGGTCAGGAGCTAAGGAGGCCTAATACAACTGTCTGTATGTATGCAAATCTCGTGCACATCTGTCTCTGTGTCTGATGCTAAGGAGTCCAAATTTGCATGTAAATCTCGTGCGGCTGCCTTTGTGTTTGACGTCAGTGGGCAAGGACTATTGAAATTGGCATCTACAATTTTATTTCACAATGAAATGGAAATATAAGGAATCACTGTCTAGTTAGTATATTATACAAGAGACATCAACGATAGTGGGAAACATGGGATAATTTATGCATATCTGGCTTCGCCCTGGCATACTATACTTACAAGACAGTGATTCCTTAAACCAATTTCCAGTAAGATTTTTTATATTCGAAATATTTTTAAAGGGCTGTTTGGTGAGAAGGATAAGAGGCGTTGGTGTGTCGTGGAAAAGAATAAATTTCGTATCTACAAGAAATCTAAGGAAACTCAGTTCAAGGAGTTTTGTCTAGATCACTGCGAATTTAAACATGGGAAGCGTACAGGGAAGGATGACCATGAACATATGTTCCAACTCATTGCTGATGAAAAAACAACATTAACAGTAAGTCCGTGGTTTATCAAAATATTTTTTTATACCTTTAATCTTTTTCATGATAATGCTCCATCGCACACATTTGAGCTTGAGGTGCAATTTTTTTTCAAGTCGAAGATTACCGTCTTGCTAACCCACCGCACTCTCTAGAAGCCTGTTTAAGGTAGGATTCTTCTCTGGTTTCTGACTAGATGGAATATTCAAAGTACATTTGTTGATGTGTCTTATATATTTAGATGTAAGAGATTTAAAAGATCAGATTTTTCTTTCCTCGTCTTAATTATACAACTTTAAATAGAAATGGAAAACTGCGTTTGAAAACTAGCAAGGACTATATTTTTGGCGGAATGGTGGCGTATGAAAATATCTTCTTTTCTGCCTCTCAAAACTCTTATATAACAGTGAATTTAGTTATTATTTTTACGCAATCATAGACTAGACGAAATTTTTAAATGTAAGTTAAATTAATAATAAGGGACTAAAGTTTCAAAATATATCAAATAAATATGATTTTTCACACATACTACAACTATGTTGGCTTTTAAATGCTTCAAATCTAAGAATAGATTTGAGCCAAAAATCCGTAAAAAAGTGTTATTTCTCTCTTAGTAAACGATCAAAAGTTTTAGTTTTTGTATAATTTTGTACCTTCATGTGACAACTTTACTATATGTGAAAATTGGAAAAAGTTAAATATAGGAAGCATAAAAAATAACTAATAGATCCTAAAAAATTCAGAAAAGTAGAGGAAATTCGGATTAGCAAATACCCATTTTATTTAAATTATTCGTGTCAATTTGGTAACATCATCTTATAGGCCCTATATGGTAGCATCTTTTTATGCAAAAAGAAAAACATTCAATCTTTTGAATTACAAGTAGGGATTGCATGATTGGAAACAGTAATTTTTTTATTCTTAATGTCCAGGAAAAAGGTAATGACCTTGACCTGACCTTGCTTCTAATATTAATCTCACTGATGCCATCACTTAGTGATATTGTCCTCTTGATTCTGTGAAAATTTCATTAATCTTTAAATACAAGAACTGTGAGAAGAATCCTACCTTAACAGATCGAGCGATCGCGAATATTTCTATCGGGTATATAAGGAATTCTGGCGAGCGCTCACTCTGTTGAACAGCCTCTGATCTAGTCCACGCGACTGTTTTCCTTTCTTTCAAAACCTGAAACTGTCAAATTGTCAGTACCTCAAATGTCAATTTAAATCAGCATACCGTGACGCATTTCAGAAATGGATTTAGTATTTCAAAACCGCGGAGAACACTAAGGTCTTTGAAGTGATGTTATGTTCATTTTCACTTTTTGAGTCCAATGTTACATACATATATCGAAAAACTCTCTCATGTATTTTACTAATTACTACATTGTATTTGCATTCAGTAATATTTTGTTCTAGTTCATTGCTTCAACAGAGGATTATTTACAATGGAAGGATGCAGTTATTAGAGGGAAAATGTACATGATTCTTCAATGTTTAAAAGATTATCGAGGTATTTAAAAGATTTAAATGATAGTAATAATTGTTTTTGTTTCAATAATTTTTTTCAAGGTGTGCTATATCACTCGTCGGATTTTTAGAAAACTTCAGGCAGAACCTATTACTTCAAAACTATTTAATATAATTCAGTTTTAATGACAAATTTAAATTAAACTAAGTAAATTGTTCAACATTCAATGAAAAACTGCTTAAGAAATTCACAAAGAATCAAAATTCATGAGGGACTATTTCTTGTGGCAGAAGGGTATTTAACAGAAGCTGCACATTTATTCACTTTAATATCTTGGACATTTAGCCTCACATACTTTTACTCGGAGAATATTTTCCGTTTTGATATGCGTGGAATATTAAATATGGGTATACATTTATATTTTTAGAACAAATTTTACACCTTTCTTCAATAAAAATTGCCGAGAAATGAAGATATATTAAAGAAGTAAAGATAAAATTAACACAGTTTTTTGACTGAAAATCGCATATTTTGACCATTATTTTAAAATTTACATCAATGACCCCAACTTTTTCTTTCATTATCTTAAACTACTCGATACTTGTCACTGATCATGATTAGGACTTAACTCGTAAAAAGTTTGATGCAAGAAAATATTTTATTGCCTATTTAGGCTAAGCTTAAAAATTCTTTGTTTGCAATTGCCGACCTATAAATAATTTATAGACTGGGTCGGTAGGTAGGCATTCTTTTTTTGGGGGGGGATTTCAGATTTTTTGTTAGATAATAAATAATAAAGCTTTTCGTTGGCCTACTAAACACGAATAAGCTCCACTAGTGTTATAAACCACTGAAAAAAGGTCAAAATTTGAAAATGAAACAGTTTCAATATCCTGAAAAAGTTGGGGAAAAATTAATTTACTAATATCTAAAAAAAATTTGGGTCAGGTGCATTTTCAGTGGGTCGGTAGGCAAGTGCAAACAAACAAATTTTTATTTTAGGCCAAATTTGTTACTTTTGTAGTGTAAAAAGGTCACATAATACCACATACTTATTAACGCGTTAATTTGCAATATTTGTTCAATGATAAATATCATTCAAACTATTTTACGTAAAATAAAATTACAATTACAGCCATTGTTACATCTAATGAAATATGATAAAAGATTAAATTGATTTAAGAAATGAATGTAATATTTTTTCCTTTGATCGATGTATCAAAGAAAAAATTTGGACGGAAAACTTCATCAATGCGCGAAGCGAACTCTAGATTTTATTGATGCAGTTATCAAAAGAATTTTTTTATCCAATCAGAATCAAGTATTTTATAGAAATTAAATGATTAAGAAAAGAGTTCAAATTTAAGTGCAAAGGGTCAACTTAATTGTACCGTTGCTAAGTAAGACACAAACTGACCCCTATTTTCTCTGCGATTTTGAGTCATACACGTGCACTACATATTATGTACTTATCCAAAATATACTTCTCAAAAAATCCTTGATATAACAAATTTCACGAGGGACAAATTTTACCTACTTTATATTGTAGACGATGAATAATGTTAATATAAATAAACAGAAAGCAGCCATCAATGTAAAAATACCCAAGGTGTAGCATCAAATTGTGTCTACACCGACATGCAAATTCAAAGATTTGTGGTCCTCCGCTTTCGGGGTCTTTGTGGGTGGGATGTCATTTTTTCATGACATATTGTGTCAAATCTAGTCACAGGTACATGTAATGCACATGTTAAATATGAAAGCCCTATCTCTTTTCAATCAAAAGTTATAAGGAGGTGAAACACTGATGACCCCGTATGGCCAAAAAAAAAAGTTGAACTTTTCTTAAGTGCAAATTTAATATATTGTATCCTAAGTAGGGCCATCTCACAAGAAATACGATTTTGAAATATGAAAGTCCTAGCACCACCTGTTCAAAAGTTATGGTCAAGGATAAGGTTTTGAAAGGTAGGTAAAACTCCAAGGTCAAAGGTTCAAAGTTGTTAGTTTCTTAAGAAAGGTCTTGTCAAAAATATTTAATTTACATAGGTAATGTATAAAAGCCCTTGCCCGAACCGTTCAAAAGTTATGGCCAAGGTTAAACATTTTTAAAAAATACGTCAAACTCCAAGGTCAAGGTCAAAGTTCTTTATATCCAATAAAAGGTCTTGCAACACGTATTACATATGTGAAGTATGAAAGCCCTTGCCCGAGCTGTTCAAAAGTTATGGCCAAGGTTAACGTTTTTAAAAAGTAGGTCAAACTCTAAGGTCAAGGTCAAAGTTGTTCGTATCCAATGAAAGGTCTCTTCAAAGGAATGGCCAAGTTTAAAGTATTTTACATTAGTACACTGTAGGAAAATCTCCAAGGTCCAAGGTAAAAGTTTTTGGTATCCAATTAAAGGTCTTGTCACAAAAAATACATATGTGAAAAAGGAAGCCCTAGTATCTACTGTTAAAAAGTTAATTCCAAAGTAAATGTTTGGAATTTTTGTGTAAAAGTGGGTCAAACTCCAAGGTCAAATGGTCAAATTTGATGAAAGGTTTTGCCACAAGTATTACATAGGTGAAGTATGAAAGCCCTTGCCTGAATCGTTCAAAAGTTATGGCCAAAATTAAAAGTTTTTAAAAAGTAGGTCAAACTTCAAAGTCAAGGTTAAAAGGTCAGAGTTGTTGATATCCAATAAAAGGTCTAATCACAAGGATTAGATATTTAAAGTATGAAATTCCTAGCCCTTACCGTTCAAAAGCTATGGCCAAGGTTAAAGCTTTTTCATAAGTACGGAAATCTCCAAGGTCAAAAAGTCAAAGTTCTTGGTCTCCAATGAAAGATCTTCTCACAAAAATTGCATGTGATAATATAAGTATGAAAGCCCTAGCTTTTACCGTTGAAAAGTTATGGCCAAATAAAAAGTTTAAAATTTTCGTGTAAAAGTGGGTCAAACTCCAAGGTCAAGGTCAAAAGGTAAAATTTGGTGGTACTCAAAGAAAGGCCTTGTCACAAGGAGTATACATGTGAAATATGAAAGTCATAGCTCCACTATATCAAAAGTTATGGGCAAGGTTAAAGTTTTTGTGACAGACGGACAGACTGGTTGACAGACGGACAGACGGATGAGATTTAATGTCCCCTCACTTTCGCGAAAGCGGGGGACAAAATAACGCGAAAATTTGCATCCATATATAAACTGACGTTAATCGGTCCGATACTTTTGTCCACAGTCTGTGCCTTAATTTAAATGAGGATCTTTAAGCAAATGTTGTAAAAGACTTAATACATCTAATACATGTTCTGTCTTATCTTACACACATTTGAGTGTTCTGTGCCTTAATTTCTTATGTTATGATTTTGTTATAAAAAAAGCCTCTACTAAGTACATTTTAACTTTCTCACGATGGCTTTTAACTGGACCCTATCTGAGTCAGAGTCAGTGACTGTGCCATTTTTCTCATTTAGTTGCTCTTTATACCATCTGAATTTATTACAGTGTTTAACGCTTCATAAAGACTAGAAATAAGAAGCAATTGGATTAATTTTCCAGAATCGAAAAATTGTAAAGCATGAGACATTATTCAAATATACAATCATATGAATATCATAGTTTCATACATATTTTTCTCACTTTTCACAGAAAGTAATAGTGAACGTCGCATTGTCCTCCTTGGAAAAACAGGCAATGGCAAAAGCGCAACAGGAAATTCTATTCTTGGCGAAGAGTCCTTTCTATCAGCTTTAAGAAACATTTCAGTTACAAAGAAGTGCAGTCGTGTTGCTCGAAAAAGATTCGGAATATCTATGGAAATCATCGATACCCCAGGTCTTTACGATACGGACATGTCAAACGAGGAAACCATCAAAGAAATTGTGAAATGCATCGGTTTGTCAGCTCCCGGTCCCCATGCTTTTTTGCTCGTTTTAAAAGCCACGTCGAGATTTACAGAGGAAGAGGAGAATGCTTTGCAGAAATTTGTTAACCACTTTGGGGATACTATTTACCAGTATTTCATAGTTGTTTTTACAGGCAAAGACCAAATGGACGCGGAAAAGATCACAATATCAAGTTTTCTAGAACATGTTCCCAGAAATTTGAAGGAGCTGCTTTCGAAATGTAGTAATAGATACTTTTTCTTAAATAATAAAGATAACGATGGAAACAAAACAGAGCAGATTTTGGAATTGCTTAATGTTATTCACAATAACTTGAGTGACAATAATTTGCCGTTTTACTCCAATGAAGATTATGAAAAGGCTACAGAAGCTCTGAGAAAAAGAGCAGAAGAGATACGACAGAAAGAGGAGGAAGAGCGTCAAAAAGAAAGAGAACGTCTTGAAAAGGAGTTAAAGGAAGAAATTAAAAAGCATATGGAGGATCGGGAAGCCAGTGACAAGAAGAAAGATGAAGAAATCAAAAAGCTACGTGAAAAACATGCGGATTTAGTTAAAAAACTAAACGAAACGGATGAAAGTGACAGACTTATGGAGATTGCGAAAAAAGAAATTGAAGAAAACATTACGGAAAGTTTTCTAAAGGTGGCAGTTTCGCATTTTGAAAGTGCGGGCCATTCTATCGTGAGCGGTATTGGTGCGGTTGGGCAGGAACTTGCACAGCAGCCTGGGAGACTGTTTTCATGGCTTGGTTGGGGAAAGAAGTAAAACAATGAAAACTGGTATATCAGTAAGTGCATGAAATGTTACACTTTGTGACATTGCCCTCTTGTTTATATTTTTGTTTCAGATCAAACAACTGTAACATTTTAGGACGGCTCATAGTATTTTCTACACTAGCTTTTTTCTTCGTTTTTGTGAATTATATATCAATATGGCAATGGTGTTTAAAGACAAGGAATGTACAGGATGAATTTAGAATCGGTGCTGCTTATTCTTTTGTAAGTACCGATGCAATTGACCAATTGTACATTCAGCTTAATTTTTTTCATGTAGTATTTGTGTAGTTTAAATAATTTATAACTTGTAAATATATTGAAATTAACACGTTTCATTTCTTCATTGCTTTTAAATAAAAATATACTGGATTCCATAAACCACAGAATAAAAATTACAGTGAACTGAATTTTTGGTCTTCGTCATAAGTTCTTTTGTAAAATAGGTATTCAATACTGGTGAAAAGAGTCCATGTTATTCCTGTATTCCTGACATCACACAGCCCAGCTTCACACCGGATCTTACTATGAAGCATGTATCTGATGAATTGCTTATAGAGCAATTAAACTCCAAGTGAAAGGCTTTAATCAGTTCTACTCTCTTTGATGGTGTTCAAGAATGCCTTCAAGGGTAATGGAAATGAATCGCAATTCTATTATATGTTAAACATTACGGTAAAATAAACCCAACAAAAAACGCATTGAAATCGATGCAGAATTAACGGAGATATCGGGTATAAACCCCAATTTACACCTAAAGGATTTTCTGAATCGAACAGTTTCAGGTCTTTGGATAATGTGACGTAACTACCATCTTCCATAAGCTTTAATTTCTTTCTGTGAATAACTGACGAACGCTTTTTCAAAATCTATAAAGTTTATTGTAAGCTGTCTTTGCCACTCTGTACATTTCTCTATTAATGTTTCGTAAGGTACATGTAAACACCTGGTCACAACAGCTTCTTCATTTCCTAAAACCTTGCTCTTGTTTTTTTTTTTTTTTTTGGCATCGACTGCAGTCTTTCTTCTGTTGTTTATTTTTCTGCTGAAAATCTTACTATTAAGTATTGATAGTAAGGTGATGCCCTCCAGTTATTGCAGTTAGTTAGATCTCCCTTCTTTGGCAGTTTGATAATATACTGTAAACGTATTACATTTGGCTGTGTATTCTTTTTAGTGCTTTTGACGAAGAGAAACTTCCACTAATTCAAGTACAATGCTAAATGACTGGCACGTATCTGTATGGAACGCCGGGACTGACTTATATGAGGATTAAACATTATATGCAGTGTTTCATTCATTATATGCGGTACTATTTTCATTATATGAAGTAGTTTTTACATTATATCGTGTGCAACTTTAATTATATGCAGTACTTCGTTCATTATATGATGTAGTTTTGTCAATATATTATGTATACATCTTGCAATATATAAGGTGTTTTATCATTACGAGGGCTGTTCAATAAATAATGTCCTCGGTGCTCAGAAAGTAGCAAAAGACGCTTTTCAATGATTTAGTCTTCATAATTTTACTTATTAATATCTATTAAACCAAACACATGTCCTTAACATTTTTTATCCAATTTCTGATTGTTTTTAGAACTCATTTTTGGGTATGACCCTTAGTATACTGGAAAATGGCAGATCCAGTGATTTCCTGGACTTGTTTTTTCCTTCTGAAAGGTGTTTTTTTTTTTCAAGTTTGGAAATTGAAACAAGTCAAAAGGTCAAAGATCTGGCCAATATTGTTAATGTGAAAAAACACTAACTTTCTGTTTATCCCGAAACCCCCTTTACTCTTCAGGGCATGCGGGTTTGGACGCTGTCATGAAGGAATTCGATGTAGTGGATTCCTGATTCTGGGTCCTTCCTCTAATAAACCGTTTGATCATTATGCAAAATAATTGCTTTCTAGACTCCTCCAGATATTATACTGTCTCCCCGAATACGAATTGGAACAACAATACCACTAATATTTCAGAAAATTGCATATAAATCAGTCTTTGTGCTCTTGCATACCTTTGCTCTTGTCAGACCTTCGCCGTTTTTATCTAGTACTTCTTATGGTAAATTTTGTTTTGATGCTTTTAAGCAATATATTCATGTTCCAATATCTGTTTGAATATAAAACAAACGTGGATTACTACAATTATTGATATTTTAAAATAATTGAAAAGACTTTCGTACACGCTGTCGTTTTCACTCATTTTTCAAAATATAGGGTGACCTTTGAGTACCAAGCTTTTTTACTGTCAAACATTTCTTAAAAATAGTGTAAACTACTCCCGATATGATGTGTATTGAATTTGCTATGTGTCTTAAAGTCAATCATACATCATCAAATAGTATTTGTTGAAATTTGGCAAACAGTGCATAAGTTGTTATAATTTTTGTTGGCAAGGAGGGTACACATTTTTGATGCCCATTATATATTTTTTTTATCATTGAAATTCACTTGCTAATTTGTCTATAAAACAGGCATTGGTTGCTGTAAATGTCACATGTTTCAGTGAATATTTCTTTGGGATTTTTAACAAGTTTTACAGAAGCTTTAATGAAGCTTTTATTTTCACTCTAGTATACTGGTTCTTTTCCATTCATTTATAATGCAGTGTCTCGAAAAGCCCTTGTTTCCCAGCTTCTCACGAAGAAACTATGCGATGAAAAGTGGTCACATAAACTGTTATGAATTCAGTAAAGATTCAATAATGAGAGAAAGTCAGGTTTAATGTCATATGATATCTGTATTGTATGTCATACAGTTCAAGACATTATTTATTGAACAGCCCTCGTATATGAAGTGCTTTTATCATTATGTGCGGTAGTTCTAATATTATATGCAGTGAACACAACAATATTTAATGTACATCTCACATTATATACAGTATTATCATCATTATATGTAGTATTTCTGTTATTTTGATGATGCTGATCGTATAAGTTTATATCCGGTCATGTTAGCATTCCGTGCGGTAGATTTTGCATTTCGTTATGTTGTAGATACAGTATTATATGTGGTGCTTTCTTCTTTATGATGATTACCTTTCGGAACGCGTAGTGTTAGGAAGTTCTCCCTTTTTTGTCCTTTGATATGAACATACTTAAAAAATTTTGGTTTATCTTTAATAATTTTGGTAATCAACTACACGTCAGCCAATTATCGCGGAATATATAATCACATATTTATACTTATATTAAAAAAATCGAAGTCAGTTTAATTAATACTTCAGTACATAGTTTAATCTTGAGATAGAGAGAGGTAAGGGGTTTACATGTTACTGAAATCATTTTATTGTTCCATTGTATTGTTAAACTATGGTGTATAAAAAATTGCTGAAATTGTCTTTAGTAAAATACTATGTGAATGTTATGTAATGTAACAAGGACAGATAAACGATTTTCAGAACAGAAAACGTATTGAGTTGTGGATTTTACTTAATTCTTCAAGGTTTTACTCCTATATAAAAACTAAAGTGAAATTAATACAATGTATCAGGCGCGGATCCAGCAATTTTTGAAAGGGGGGTGTTTCCGGGTCGGTGCCCCCAGCACTCTTGCATAGAATCACACCACGGCCACTTCAAGTCCATAGCTACATTTATAAGAATGGGGCCTCCAAAAACATTTGGCAAGCAACCCCCCCAAAAAAAACAATTAAACAAACAAACTATGCACTACACTCTAAAATCTTTTTTAGGAGGGGGCCGGGTAGAGGGGGGCTTCCTGTAACAAATCAAAATATTAATTAAGATTATTCTCAGAAAAAGTTAGCCCCATCCATCTGCATACTACGGGAGCATTTTAATCCTTTCTCTTCATTGATTAAAAATATTTTATGCATACTTCTAAAAGTTAGTTACTTCTGAAAATGGTCCAAAAATGGTATAGCTTAAGTTGGCCGGTGTAAAGACGAATAATGACCCCCATCGAATAATGACCGCGGGTCATTTTTCAACGACAAAAAATGACCCCCTACCCGTAGAATAAAATCATTTTTTGTAGAAAAAGAGTTCTAGGGGTCAATATTTTATATGTTAGTCCTATAAAATATTGACCCCCATTGAAAAATGACCCCCTTTAAAGTGATACAAAATTTATAACAGTTGAAAGGGAAAAATATGCTGTGTATTATGATATTTAATTGTTCTTCCTTCGTGTATTTCATGCATTTGTTCAAATAGATTTGATCTTCGTTCTTCTTAGCACGTAGGGGTAATAAAGTTCTTCATTTCTCTCTGTCGAAATATTGACAATTCAGTTTTAAGCAGTTAACAATCAAACAATTAATAATTTCTCTGATAAAGGAGCAAACCTAGAAAATCAAAGATGGTACATGTAAATGGATCAAATGCACGCTGGAGATAAAATTTATGAATTTAATTTTTTTTCTTTACTGACTCCATTGATACGTTGTTTTAGAAGGCGTTCAGATTTTAGAACGCAGTTCGCAGTTCGCTATTCGCAATTCAAAAGTGAACTGGGTTCTAGAACGCAGTTCGCAATTCAAAATTTAAACATACACTGTGTGGTCTGAAATTTTGTGGGTGGGGTACTAGGGGTCAGTTACCACTCCTGTGAATAAATGGTGATGGTACAATCTCTAGTTTCCGAGATATGGCCCTCCAGTTTTTAGCCCTACTATATAATGCTATACGAATAAACATCGGGCTGGGGGACATCGAAGTCCCCTACCCCGGTGTTTATTCGTATAGTATTATATAGTAGGGCTAAAAACTAGAGGACTATATCTTGGAAACTAGAGATGGTACCATCACCATTTTTTCATAGAAGTGGAATCTGGCCCCTAGTACCCCATCCCCAAAATTTCAGACCCCAGGGTAGGGGACTTCGATGTCCCCTAGCCCGATGTTTATTCGTATAGTATTATATAGTAGGGCTAAAAACTAGAGGACTATATCTCGGAAACTAGAGATGGTACCATCACCATTTTTTCATAGAAGTGGAATCTGGCCCCTAATACCCCACCCCAATAATTTCAGACCCCAGGGTAGGGGACT